TTTTTGGGGACGAGAATAATTTTCTAGGATTTAGGCTTAGTTCAGAAAGAAATACTAAATTCTGAAATGTCTTCAATTGTCTTACAATGACTCACTCATTAGAAATTTAAAAATGGGCAACCAGAACATAAAAAGGGTAAGAAAATAAAACTAAATATTAAAAGTTATCCAACATCTATTTGTTATCTAATTTTTTTGGCCTTGTCAATGTCAGATGACAGAACATGAGAACCGACCAGTTTTTACTTTTGAATACATACCCAAAATGGTTTAAAAAGCCAAAAACAGGTTTTCTTTCCCTCATTTTCTCTAAATCGTTTTAAAGAACTAATTTTTGTATATGTAACTTGCTTTTTGCCCCTAGCTTAGTCATCTTACTTTCTACATCCCATGAAGTTGTAAAGAAATTTACCTCTAAGTAACAAAATAATGAATGGAATGGTTTAGACCTTTATAATCACCCTTCTCGTTCAAAACCATACTCTATCAAAACCCTTTTTATCATTACTGTCCTTTAGTTAAAAGAGTTTTTTTTTTCTTGAGAAAAACACTTTCCAACTACCCTATAATGTTTTATCTAACATTACAGATGGAGAAGCATTCATACAATAACAGTGTAATTATGGACCGATCAGTATTCTTTGCAAAGATTCTGCAAGCCTTAAGAGAAGGAATAGCAACTTAAAACAAAAATTAGTTTGAAACAATGTCAGCTATTTTAATCCATTTCTCAGTAAGAGCCATGTGGATTCCATTTAGATTAAGTCACGTGTAACATGGCACTTGCATTCTCATATTCACCTATTTGGAAAACCTAGCTATTATTCTAGCAAAATAAAGTAAAATAAACCCTAATACAGCATGTATTTTTATGACAGTGGAACATTCCAGTAAAGATTAAACACAAAAAAAACCTAATCATCTACTAAAGATGTAACTGAGCTTTTCACTAGCGTAACCTCAAAGACAATATGTCATTTAACCCTACATTTCTTTAGAGCAGGGTTTCTCAACCGCAACACCATCAACATTGTGGGCAGGATAATTCCTTGTGGGGAGCTTTCCTGGCTTCTACCAACTATATGCCAGTAGCACCCACCCAGTTTTAACAACCAAAAATGCCTCCAGACATCGTCAGTGTCCTCTGGGGGTAAATTCTCCCCTGGTTGAGAACCTACCCTTTTCACTCAAGAGTCAACCAACTCTTTTTTTGTGTAAGTAATTGATTGCCTTTTATTATTTTTTGAACATTTGTTTTAGGTGAAAATTTACACAGCACATCAGTTTCCCATTCAACAATTTATACACAATTTGTTCCGTGATATTCGTTGCTATCTCCGCTATGTGTCAGCACTCCGTTTCCATCCTGCCTTTCCAGTTTCCCTGCCCCTCCTTGCCTTCTCATCTTTGCTTTTGGGCCAATGTTGCCCATTTGGTCTCATATAGTTGATTGTTCTCAAGAGCATATTCCTCACAGGTGTTGTTTATTTTTTACGCCAATCTATTATTTGGCTGAAAGGCGGCCTCCAGGAGTGGCTTCAGTTCCGGGTTGAAAGGGTGTCTTAGTGCGGCAGTCTCAGGGGTTCCTCCAGTTTCTATCAGTCCAGTAAGTTTGGTCTTTTTTATAAATTTGAGTTTTGTTCTACAGTTTTCTCTCATTCTAACTGGGACCTTCTATTGTGTCCCTGGTCAGAGTGGTTGGTAGTGGTAGGACACCATCTAGTTCTTCCGGTCTCAGGGTAGACAACTGTGGTTCATGCTGGCCATTAGTCCTGTGGACTAACAGCTTCTTGAGTCTTTGGTTTCCTTCACTCTCCTTTACTCCACATGGGAAAAGACCAATAGTTCTATCTTAGATGGCCACTTGCATGCTTTTAAGACGTCTGACCCTACTCACCAAACTAGATGTAGAACATTATCTTTACGAACTGTTATACCAATTGACCTGGCTATCTCCTGACACTATGGTCCTTAGCCTTCAAGCCCGGTAACTTGGTCCCACAAGGTGTTTCGATACTCTAAGGTTTCCCTAACTGTGCCCCCTAGGTGCTCTATTATATGTATGTATATGCAGCACAAATATGCATATACAAATGCCCATAATTGTACCTATATACGCACACCCATGTACTCCCATACACCCTCTCACACCTATATAGCTTACGTTATCTACCTACATAACTACTCAAACTTTTGGTTGCTATTACTGTTGTTGTAGAATTGTGTGTTATAGTATTTTCTGTAGTTGTCCCTTTTTCTTTCATTTGTCTTCATTTACCTTGGTCATGTTGTGCTGACTGTCCCCATATTGTGTATTGCCTTTCCCTTCACCAGAATTAACACGTCTACTAACTATATACTTATATAGAATTATACTAAGGTATGGAGCCCTGGTGGTACAGTGGTTAAGAGCTTGGCTGTTAACCAAACAGTTAGCAGTTGAAATCTACACTAGCCACTCCTTGGAAATCCTATGGGGCAGTTCTACGCTGTCCTATAGGGTCGTTATAAGTCAGAAGCAACTTGAAGGCAACAGGTTTACTATCTAGTAAGTGATTTTTCCTCCCTCCCCCTCCCATCCCATCCCTGGTAACCATCAAAGAATGTTGCTTTCTGTGTGCAAACCTATTCTTGACTTTTTATAAAAGTGGTATCATACAACATTTGTCCTTTTGTAATTGACTTATTCCACTTAGCTATTAACGTTCTCCAGATTCATCCATGTTATGTTTCCCAGACTCATTGCTCTTCTTTACTGTTGCATAATATTCCATTGTATGTATGTACCACAATTTAACTGTTCATCTGTTGATGGGCACTTAGGTTGTTTCCATCTTTTTGCTATTGTGAATAATGCTGCAAGGAACACGGGCGTGCATATGTCTATTCGTGTCACTGCTCTTATTTCTCTAGAATATATCTAACAGTGGGATTGCTGGATCATACAATATTTCTATTTCCAGCTTTTACAGAAAGTGTCATTATCATTTTTCATAGTGGCTGTACCATTTTATAATCCTACCAGCAGTGGGTAAGAGTTCCAATCTCCCCACAACCTCACCAGCATTTGCTGTTTTTTTTTTTTGATCAGTGCCATTTTCGCTGGAGTGATATGGTATCTCATTGTCGTTTTGATCTGCATCTCTCCAATGCTTACTGATTACAAGCATTTCTTCATGTGTTCATTAGACACCTGAATGTCTTCTTTGGTGAAGTTATCTGTTCATGTCCTTTGCCCATTTTTTGATTTGTCTTTTTGTTGTTGAGGTACTGAAGTTTTCTATATATTCTAGAGATTGGACCCTTGTCAGGTATGTCGTTGCCAACATCTTTTTCCCAGTCTGTGGGTTCTCTTTATATTCTTTTGTAAAGTATTTTGACGAGCAGAGTCGATCAACTCTTAAGCATCCACTAAAATTCTGAAGGAACTACACAGACTAATAAAAAAAAAATTACTTTTAATTAAAGAATGCTTAACTTAAGGCATCATACTGACATCTACTGGCTTGATACTAAACTGTACATTTGACATCCACTGCTTTAAAAATAAAACCCCCAAATTATAAGTAATATAGGTGTTATTCTGGAAAGGTAGAACAATTAATTTAAAGCAGTAACATTAATATCAGGACTATTAATTTTTTGCAAAGCCTAATATATACAACAATGGTAGTTGTCTATTGCTTTCTTAGTTTACGTGATGAATTAAAATTTGTAATGAATGTTTTTAGAGACCACTAATTAGAGAGGAATTTTTGGGTGAAAAGTAAAAAAATTTCCATTTCAAAAAACTTGCAAAAATTAAGCAGCATGCTATTTCATGATTTACATTGAAAAAAAATTTTTTTTTAACTAGAAAAATTATTTCTTGTCCTTTCATACATTTTATTGTTCAGGAAACAGTCTGACACACATATCTGAAAGAACATACTATTGCACACTGTTTAAAGGCAAAGCACCACAGGTAAAGCTAATCAGTTGTTCAGAGTCCTCAGCTTATGGAAATCTTGATTCCTGATTTAACATTTATGTTTGAATATTAGAAACGTCATCTTCAATAAATGTTAAGGGGCTGTAAAAAAATAATCACTTTATTCAGTATTATAGTTGTAGAAATGGAGGATATTTTCTTTTAGAAATGAAAAACTAAGCAGAAAATGCCACTTAACATTGTTGGTACGTCAGTCTAGGTCAGCAGGATAAAAATACTTGATGAGTTTCTCTTTGATAGTACCAAGAAGAAATTCTAGTCTAAGCTTTAATGAGCTTCCTATGTTGTCACTAGATTTTCTTCTTTCTCTGCTGCTTTTCATCGTTTTCTACATTTCATATCTGAGGATTGGTACAGCTGTTAAAGCTTCATTAACAGGAGCAAATTCAGTATCCACTGACTTCTTCTCGAACAGTACTCTAACCCATCAGATGGTCTGGCAGTTTCATTCTCATGAACACTCTAGCCATAAAAAAAACTCAATAGGACACAGACAAATCCAATGAATAGAAGAAATCTACTGCATTTCGGAATGTTTGGTGCATTGGATTGGTCCAGGATTATGAAACCTAAACTTCCCATTCTAAACAGGAAGCTGGATACGAGTCCTTCCATAATATATTGTCCATTTACTCTGTAGGCCAAGAAAGCTACTGGCCTCTCATGCCCATGTTTATCAGTCATGCAGCCAATACTTGGAGGTTCCACAATAACATTATAAATTATTCCCCTGGTGATGAGGAAGTAAGACACCACCACCAGAGCGTACACCGTTATGGCAGACGGCATGTGCACCCGGGGTAGCTTCTTCAGCTTCAGGTTGGGGCATTTGAGCAATAAGAACAGGACTCGGTACAAAGTCTCCATGGTGGTGGCAGCAGAGGCCTACACTGAAATTTTAAAAGATAGATAAAAAATTGAAATAAAAACCTAAAAACAATGATTCTATAAATAAAATTAAATTTTCTAGACATCTTAATAAAAGACATTTGGTAATTAAATACTACTGTGAATTAAACTGATGAACTTTATTGGGGTTAAAACTATAACAAAGTTCATCCTAAAACATTTTGCAATGCAAAATTATTTCACTCAAGGAGTGTTTAATAATTCGAATGCTAGGAATTACAGGCAATTTTCAAAAGCAGAGACTCTCACATTCATAAAACTTTATACATCTTTTGAACTAACAGATATTTATACTACTAAAATCAAACATGCATCACTTTCAAACATTCTTGTATCATGATTTTATATATTACATATTTAAACACCATTCCTCATCAATACACATTTTTTATCATACACTTGCACCATTCTCTTTGGATTTCTGATCTTTATCTTCATTCTTCACGTTATCCTATAAAATAGACAAGAAAACAGTACATTTTACTAGGTAGTCTTAAATCTAACTAAAAAAAAAAAAAAAAAACAGAGGTATTACACAGATAGCCCATTTTACTGTCTATAAATTACTGGACCTGGAGTAAACTATGAAAGAAATCTCTCTCTCAATTCTATATAGCTTGGCTTTGTGTATTTTACAAAGCAATCTGAGTCCTGAGAATCAGTGGTTCTTCAGAGTAACGGTAGTACATTCCTTGCACTGTAGTTAGATTGTTTTCTCTCCTTGTCTTCGGAATGGGACCGAGGATGAAGAAGATCCTAAGTTAGATTACAATGGCACTGAGCCACTAGATTTTTTCCAATGACAAAGAATACTACGAAATGAATTTTGATAGCTTGGTACCAAAGAATTTCCCTGCGACTCATAAACCATGCTGACATCCCAACCAAGTTTCAAGAAAACACAATCACTTTTGGTTGACTGCGCAAAGGATAGAATGCTACCATTATTTGCTCCTAGAAAAACCACTAAGAATTTAATAACATTAAAATGCAGTAAAAATGCCACAAATACATTAACAGATTGAAACAAACTATGAAAATGTTGAAAGTAAAAAATTCCCAACCTTCTTGAGAACACTGTGGATTTCATCCATTACTGTGGATAAGTTTCTGATTGTCTTATTCAGTTGGTTTTCAAACTGCAAATTCATGTTCTCTGAAATCTTTAAATTTTCTTGTAACTGACTAAGGTCCTTTTTAACTTCTCTAAGTTCACCAGTAAGACTTTTGTTGGAATTCTCTAAGTTTAATATGGTTTTTTCATCTTCATCTGTTAAAACAAAAAAAAAACTAAAATTCACTATTATTTTTTCTACTAAAATTTCCAATTTAACTTTGAGGTTAAAAATATTAAGCTAGGAAAATAAAACACTAATAAAATTTCTTAAAATGGCTATAAATGTTTATTTCATTAGTTATATAAAGCATAGTTATAATATTCATCTAAGTTTCAACTAAGTATTATTTTTACCATTTTCAGATGATTGTGTAAATTAGAGAAACTGGTGAAAGCCAAGTGTAACTAGAACAGGACTGAGAAGAATGCAATAGAACCACATAGGTAAGGTAGCTATGAATCAGAATTGACTGGACAGCAATGGGTTTGGGTTTTTTTTTTTTTTTTTTTTTGAGGAACCTCAGAATGCAAACGAGAATCCTTGTAAAGCTAAGCAATTTTATAACCTGGAACAGAAATAATCAAAAGTAAAAAGTTACACATGTAGCTAGACATGTTTGTGTTTACATATACATATCCCAATAGGATACTAACATCCAATGTTGTTCCTTACCTGTTTTTTCTTCTAGTAACTGCAGCTTCTGTTCTACTTCAGCTCTTACTTTTTCACTCTTTTCTAATTTTTGCAGGAGGCTTCCTACATCCACCATGGCACCATTGTACACGATGAGGCCAACGTTTTCTTCCACATCCTTTGATTCCTGTTTTACTGTTGGTGTTGGAAGTAACAACCTATTTCCTATAATATATAAAAGACACCATATTTTACTAAGTTATGTTTTCTTCAATTATCAAATAATATATTTTTAAAAAGCAACATCTTAAAATAATAGACTCAAACCTAGCATATCTTCTTGCAATGCTTCAGACTCTTCATGGTTTTCTTCATCTTTCGAGGTGTCTGTTAATTTTCGATAAAAGCAAGATTCACGGAGCACCACTTTATTAAGAAGCTTCTTTACCTATCGTGCAAGCAAGTAAATTAAAAAGATGAAAATTGAAAGTATAAAAAGTAAAAAGAAGAAAATTTTTTGATTCTCCTACAACACTGGCTCACTTCTGTCTAAAGTGCACATATGGACATTCATAGCAACTGTTTTTAAACTATGTTGCATAATGTTCTAGGATTCCTAGAGGTGTAATAAGCAGCCATAAAGGAAGGGCAAAGCAGGAGTGTCAGGTATCCACTCCCACTCAATTACAGCAGTTGTGCTTTTAATTTTAACTATCTTTTCTTTAAATCTAAAATCCAAAGGATCACTTGAAAAAAAAAGTTTCATTGTTAAAAAGTGTAACAAAGATAGAAATACATGTACAATAAAATTCATGTACGAAGATGTTTAATACAGCATAATTTGTACAATTCCAAAAAAACTGAAGCCATACAGCAATAGGAGACCACTTAAGCCAATTATGGTGTATCTATGCCATAAAATATTATGCAGCCATAAAAAGAATGAATTGGTCTCATTTACTGTCATGATAAATTGTTCATGATATATTGTTGAATGAAAAAAGTTAACAATACACATGTATAAAATAATTTTATGTTTTGTTTAGAAAAAAGTAAGAACAACCATACATATGTGAGTTGCTTAGAAAAAGACCTAGAAGGTTACACAATGATTAGGTCTGAGTACTAGAACTGAAGGAAAAGGGAAGAGGGACTTTAGCTTTTTAATTTTCTGTACTTTGGTATTGCTTGTTTTAAAATCATCCTGTTATTGCTTTTATAATTCAAAATATGTCGAGAGAGATTGAAAAGCAAGACGAGCACCTACGGAATTAAATACATTATTCCCCTGCCTTTGCTTTTCAATACTTACTAAAAAATGCTTTTCACTTCAAATTATTCACAAGATATTATTACCTGAGCCCGAGAAAGATGCAGTCCAAGAGTATAAAGTATTTCTTCCAAATCCTTTTCAAGCAGGTAACCACAATGGCTTTGATCAAAATAAACAAAAGCCATCAACAGATCCCTGTTAACTGTGATCATCTGAGTCTTTTCTTTTTCCTAAAAAAAATGCAGAAGTAGAAGACATAGTATAAATATTTTTTTACCCCTGAAAAATGAAAAATTGAGACTGTGTCCATATAATAGCAACAATCTGAAAAGACCTTTGCTCCATCTTAGCTAGACTGAATTGGTGCATGCATATGGGAGAAAGAAATCAGACATACTGGCTACCTGACATAGCCAGAAATACCAAAAAACAACTGATCGAATTTTCCTCTTCGTGGCAACATACAGACAGATACACAAGAACTAATTAACTTCAGGACTGTGTTATGTTTAACATAATAAGTCTGGAGTACGTAAGATATGGGAATCGTGACATTATTAAGAATACAGTATTAATTCAATAAATACTTTATCTTTAGAGGGCCTCTCCTTGCAGTATCTGTTGACATCTCTTTTGTCATCTCGTTTGTTCATTTCTTCCTCATCCCGATCTGTAAAATAAATATAACAGCAGCAAAAATTTTTATTAATACTGCTATTTTCAATGACGGTTGAGACCCAAAACTACTTTTCTATTACTGAAGTTTTCCAAGGATGGAAGAGCAGGCTCCAAATAGCCAAAGCAATTCAATTTGAAAACTTAACTACAGTTACAGTAATCAAAACCGTGTGGTACTGGCATAAGGACAGACATACAGACCAATGGAATGCAACTGACAGTCCAGAAATAAACCCATACATCTATGGTCAACTGATTTTCAACAAGGGTGCAAAGTCCACTCAATGGGGAAAAAGACTAGTCTCTTCAACAAATGGTACAAGGACAAATGTACATCTACTTGTAAAAGAATAAGCTGGACCCTTTACCTCATCATATAGAAAAATTAACTCAAAATGGATCAACGACCTAAATATAAGAGCTATAACCATAAAACTCTTAGAAGGAAACATACGAATAAATTTTCAGGACCTTCCATCTGGCAATGGATTCTTAAATACAAGACCAAAGGCACAAGCAACAAAAGAAAAAACAGATAAATTAGACTTCATCAAAATTAAAAACTTCTGAGCACCAAAGGATATTATGAAGAAAGTGAAAAGACAACTTACAGAATGGGAGAAAACATTTGGCAATCATGTATCTGATAAGGATTTAATATCCAAAATATATAAAGAACTCCTACAACTTAACAACAAAAAGACAAACAAGCCAATTAAAAATAGGCAAAGGACTAGAAGAGAGATTTCTCCAAAGATATATAAATGGCTGATTAAGCACACAAAAAGATGCTCAACATCATTAGTCACTAGGAAAAACAAATCAAAACCACAACAAATTCCCACTTCACACCACCAGGATGGCTATAATCAAAAAGATGGATAACAAGTGTTGATGAGGACAGGGAGAAACTGGAAGCTTCACCCATTACTGGTGGGAACATAAAATGGGGCAGTCACTGCGGAAAACTGGTGGTTCCTCAAAAAGTTAAACATAAAATCACTATATGATCCCACAATTCCACTCCAAGGTATATCCCAAAAGAATGAAAAGCGGTGAGGTAAACAGACACTTATACACCAGTGTTCACTGCAGCACTGTTCACAATAGCCCAATGGTGGAAATAACCCAAGTATCTATCAAGAGATGAACAGATAAACAAAATGCGGTATTATACACTCAGTGAAATAAACAGCCCTAAAAAAGAATGAAGTTCTAACACGTTATAATATGGATGAACCTTAAAACATTACGCTAAGTGAAATAAGTCAGACACAAAAGGACAAATACTGTATTATTCCACTTATATGAAATATTAGAAAATGCAACTTCATAAAGACAAGTTTTATAAACAATTATGCAATGAACATCAGTACTGATATTTTAAAGGATATGATTAATTCATAGTTCCAAATTTCTGTCCAGAAAATACATTTATAAAGCTCCCTAGAGTGATGAAAGTGCTCACTGTTCCCTTACTAAACTGATAAGACCTTTCATTAAAAACCTAATTTCATCAATTTGAAAGGTAAAAAATGGTCTCATTTTCTGCTTTTCTGGTTCAACATGATTTTAGACATTAATTGGCAATGTGCTTTCATATTCATTTTCTACAACTCCATTTGTCTACTGGAAAGAGTGGTGACCAGAAAACCTGACAAAATAATGGGGAACCCCCCCTCCATAAAATCATAACATAAACAAGCAGAAATTGGAAACACCAGGGAAACAAAAAAAGAACTACAATCTTAAAAGCATGTCTTTACTCTTAAGATGAAAAATTCATACTTTCAAATGGATCAAACACACACGTGCAGATAACAAAACTTCTAAGGCAAAATATTAACCATTATTGAATCAAGGTTGTTGAATACAGGAGTGTTTTTTGCACTATTCTTTCAACTTTTCTGTATGTTTGAATATTTTCATCAATGAAAGAAAAAACTCCATGACAGAGAGAAGATAAAGTAGAGGTAAATCAAATATACATTCATAATAATCCTAGATGTAGATTTAATAAAATTTCTTGTGGTTTTCTCATTTTAGAAAAAAATAATTAAAAATAAAAAAGCTACAAATTTACATGGAGAGCGACAGGCATTCAGTATTACTTTACAAGTACTTTTATGGCTGATATTTGCTATAACTGGTCAGGACATCTGTAGTAAAACATTCTGAATATCATCCTTACTGGTAAAGGTCTGTTTTTTAACACTGGTGATAGGTATATGGCTGTTTATTATTAGTCTTTAAATAAACTGTCTCTGTATGTTATATGCATGTATGATAGTTTTCATAATTAAAAACAAAACACAAGGCTCAAATTAATTTTCTAAAGAAGAATACATTCTATGAAACAACTGGGACTAGTATGCCTTCATGACTCACTTTAAATATCATGTCCAAGCAAGTTTTTTTTCCCTCAAGTTGGGTAAAAATTAATTAGATATGGGACATGTGGTATTTGATACTAAATGTCTTAAAACAATCTTCTCAGATAAAAAATTAAAGAATTACATAATACAAACAGATTTTCACTAGAAGAAAATGTTAGTTTCTACTGCAAATAATTTAAAAATGTAGATTTCAATGACACAAACTCACTGAACAAAAATATCTACTTTTAATCCTAAAGAGAAATAACTTTGAATGTTCATACCATCTTCTTCATCCTCAGCTTCTTCTGCTTCCATTGGATCATATTCATCTTGATTATTATCTTCTTCAGTTTCATCATCATCTTTAGAATCATCTTTTCTTTTATCTTCTTTCTGTAATTTAAAATGCCTTAAAATTAAGCAAAAGTCATCTCACCATACATACACACGTTAGGCCATGGATAGTTTTACATACCTATCTGTATGTACAGCCTGTATATGCATATACATAATAGAGCACAAAGAAGGCACAGTCATAGAAGCTTCCTAGACACATCCTAACACCGTGAGGGACCAAGGTACTGGGGCCGAGGGCGGGGACCATGGTCTCAGGCGGTATCTAGGTCAACTGGCATAACACAGCTGTTATGGACTGAATTGTGTCCCCCCAAAAATGTGTGTCAACTTGGCTAGGCTATGATTCCCAGTACCATGTGACTGTCCACCATTTTGTCATCTGATGTGATTTTCCTATGTGTTGTAAATCCTATCTCTATGATGTTAATGCAGCAGTCAAAAAATCAAATGACACATCGCACTGGGCAAAAAACCAAACAAAACCTGTTGCCGTCAAGTCGATTCCAACTCACAGCGACCCTGAAGGACTAAGTAGAACTGCCCTACAGGGTTTCCAAGGAGCGCCTGGTAGATTTGAACTGCTGACCTTTGGGTTAGCAGCCATAGCTCTTAAACACTACCCCCCAGGGTTTCCGCACTGGGCAAACCTACTGCAAAAGATCTCTTCAAAGTGTTAAAAAGCAAACATGTCACTTTAAGGAATAAGGTGCATCTGACCCAAGCTATGGTGTTTTCAACTGCCTCATATGCATGTGAAAGCTGGACAATGAATAAAGAAGACCGAAGAAGAACTGATGCCTCTGAATTACGGTGTTGGCGAAGAATACTGAGTATACCATGGACTGACAGAAGAATTAACAAATCTGTCTTGGAAGAAGTACAGCAAAATGCTCATTAGAAGCAAGGATGGGAAGACTTTGTCTCACATACTTTGGAGATGTTATCAGGAGGGACCAGTCCCTGGAGAAGGACATCATGCATGGTAAAGTGGACGGTCAGCAAAAAAGAGGAAGTCCCTCAATAGGATGGATTGACACAGTGGCTGCAACAATGGGCTTAACCATAACAATGATGTGAGGATGGCACAGGATTGGGCAGTTTTTCATTCTGTTGCACACAGGGTCACTATGAGTCGGAACTGACTCAACAGGAAACAACATGATGTTAATGAGGCAGGACTCAGTCTACAAGATTAGGTTGTTTATCTGTGTCAATCTCTTGAGATATAAAAGAGACAAACGAGCAGAGACACAGGGGGACCTCATACCACCAAGACAGCAGCGCCGGGAGTGGAGCATGTCCTTTGGACCCTGGGTCCCTGTGCTGAGAAGCACCTAGACCAGGGGAAGACAGATGATAAGGACCTGCCCCCATATCCAACACAGAGAGAAAGCCTTCCCCTGGAGCTGGGACCTTGAATTTGGACTTCTAGCTTCCTAGACTGTGAGAGAATAAATTTCTCTTTGTTAAAGCAATCCACTTGTGGTATTTCTGTTATAGCAGCACTAGATAACTAAGATAATAAGCACAAAGAAAATATTCTACATCCTTCTATGGTGAGTACCATCTGGGGTCTCAAAAGCTTGCAAGCAGCCATTTATGGTACATCTATTGGTCCTATCCCATCCAGAGCAAAGGAGAATGAAGAAAACCAAAGATACAGAGAAAATACTAGTCCAAAGGACTAATGGACCACATGAACCAGTCTCCACCAGCCTGAACCCAGAAGAATTAGATGGTGCCTGGCTACCACTACGATGACTCTGACAGGTATCACAATAGAAGGTCCCAGACAGAGTGGGAGAAAAATGTAGAACAAATGATCAAATTCACAAAAAAGACCAGACTTATTGGTCTGATGGTGACTAGAGGAACCCCCGAGACTATGGTCCCCACACACCTTGCTAACTCAGAACTGAAGCCAGTCCCGAAGTTCACCTTTTAGTTAAAGATAAGACAAGCCTATAAAAACAAACAATAACACACATGAGGAATGTGCTTCTTAGATCAATCAAGTATATGAGACCAAATGGGCAACACCTGCCCAAAAGCAAAGAGGAAAACGCAGGAAGGGATAGGAAAACCCAGTGAATGGAAACAGGGAACCTGAGGTGGAAAACGGGGGAGTGGTGACACAACGTGGGGATTGCAACCAATGTCACCAAACAATTTCTGATGAGAAACTAATATGCTCTGTTAACTTTCACCTAAAGCATAATTGAAAAAAAAAAAAGGAACCTTAGGGGGGCAGTGAGCTTATGCTAATGAGGGAGCTCCGAACAACTCATAATAGGGGGTGAAAATGGTTGCACAACTCAAAGAATGTAATTAATGTCAATAACTGTACACGTAGAAACTAGAATTGGTGGTGTTTTTGCTGTGTATATTCTCAACAAATAAATTATTAAAGTAAGTCACCTCACCAAACATTAAATGACTGAAAATGAAAAATATCAAGTTCACTAAATTTACTTGAAATAGTTCAAATTATAAATTTCTTATAATAACATACTTCAAGAATAAACGACCAGAAAAATAGTTATAGATGTTCATATAGACATAAATTTCTAATAGTACACTAAAATTTTTCAGTCTGGCCTTTAAATTTTACTATTATGATAGAACTCACTGTCATTTTTGTTACAATCTATAAGATTAAAAACTTCTAAACTAGGCTGCTGCTTACAGAAATAATTACAGACCTTCCTTTCATCTCTATCTTCTTTTTTATCCTTATCATCGCCTGATTTTCTCCGTTTTGGTTTTGGTTCATCAGTTTCATCATCTCTTTCTTCTTTTTTATCTTTTCTTTCATCTTTTTTGCTCTTCTTATCCTTTTCTTTTTTGTCCTCTTTTTCAGGAAGAGATACTAATGATTTGTATATTCTGACACCAAAGTCTCTTTGAAGCATTTCATTGAAAAGTTCTGCAAACAATGAAACCTATAAAAAGATACCAACATTAACCCAGCCAACTTTAATAGAAATACTGAATAAATCAGAGCTTCGCGCTGGTTCTGCTCAGTTCAGTCATCACTGAGGAAGCCTCTGGAAGAGATCCGAATTTTTAAAATTTGGGTGAACTGGAATGGTAACCAGAATAGGAAAAATTACGGGTCAAAGCTCTGCTAGAAATGAAATCTCCCTCTTAGAAAACAAGAGCAGTGTACGCACTGCATACCAAATCTCTTGCCCACTGGATTTTGCACAGAACTGGTAACAGTGGTGCCCCCCCGAAAGACGGCAGTGGACTGCGTCGCTCTGAATGTGTGTAGCTTTCAAGAGTCCCGGCAATAATCCAATCTCATATATCAGGCTCACTAAACCTATTTCCGACCAGGGCCTCCACCATAATTTTTCCCGTTCCAGATTGCCCAAATTTTAAAAATTTGAGTCTCTTCCTGTTTTGCTTCATCGGCCATGACTGAATTGTTTGAAGCCCTAGAATAAATCCAGCACAGTCAACAATTTATTAAATAAAAACTAGTCAAATCTAACAACTATGTGCACTTACAATACAGTTATAATATTTGATGTTGATGAGGTTGAGGAGCCTCAAAATCTTCAGAAGAACCTTCTGAAGCCAAAAATACTATGCTTAGTATAGTTCTGGCTAAAAGTTATAAAAAATAATGAACTTACTGTAGAAAATTTGAAAATTAACAGAAATTAAATGATACCTACCATCCTAGCACAATCATTAATTTTCATGATAAATGAACTTTCTTATTCAACAAACTTTTATGAAATGCCTACTATATACCAGACAGTTCTAGGCACTAGAAACACAGTAGTGAACAAAGCAGATAAAAATTCCTGCTCTCATGAAGCTACCAATCAAGTGAAAGGAATTAGAAAATAACTAAATCAACAACAAATAATAAGAAAAACAAGCAGGATAAGGCACACAGAGAATAACAAAAGAGAGTTTTCAGGGAAAGCCTCCTTGATCAGGTAACATTTGAAAAGTGCTGTAGATGTTCTGAGGAAATAAGCCACATGGTTGTCTAAGGAGAACGGCGTTCCAGGCCAGAGAAACAATTCAAAACCCTGAGTAGTTGAGTATATGTTATTACTCAGGGATCCCTGGATAACAGGCTTTAGCACACTTAGGAACCTAAAATTATATACTAAATTTTCTATATTTCTAAGCAGAAGATCCACTGCTTTCAACAGATTCTTAAAAGGGTCTAGAACTTGAGAACGGTAGATCACAGCTATGTAATCTTTGGCAATTTGTTCAGGATATTTTATAAAACACTTAAAAAATTAGATTAATTAGACTATTTTCCTGATCATAAAGGATAAATGTGATTTATTAAAATTATAAATGATTTTATATTTTTCTAAATGTCTAGTTTTCATAATTTAAAATTTAAAAAATATTAGTAAAATAACCATTAAAAATGTTGAAATATCAACATTCTCTTAACCATTAATGTAAACGAAACAAATATCCCCATTTTTGTAAGTGAATAGAAAGAAACGTATCTTTTCCCTAGAGTTTCTATTTTCCATAACCTAGAGATCAAAAGCAATAATTAAAATATGTATGACTGAAGAAAGCCTAGAATGATAATTAGAAAAGCACAATTAATTCTGCATACCTTTCTACTTACAAGCACTAAAAAACAAAGGTTTCTCTAGGTATAATTTAAACTAATCTAAAATTTATAATTTTATGATATGTTTTTTTCTTAGTTATAATTTCTTTTAAATTCATACACCAAACTGATGCCTGTTTTCTAATGCTATATTAAAATGAAACTAACCTTGGGGATATGTTAGATGGGGGAAAAAACGCAAAAGATCATTATGCCAGCAAATGGCTGTTTCTCAAATCTGTTTCCATCAGAGTAGCGTTAACCTGAGATCCTTTAACAGCACTGGTTAGACATACAGTATACTCTCTTAAGCAGTTAACAACATCAGAGACTATTTTTTTCATTTATTTCTTTAGTGACTACTACATGGTAGGCACTATTAGGAGTTACCTAAATTTACCACAATTGCTAACAAAAATAAAGTCAAATCGTAACAGCCTCTAACATTTAAGAACGTTAGCACAATGGGTTTATAAATCTCTCAAAAATCAGAATATTTTAATATTTGTAACATTTCATATCAAGACCAACAACCATGTACTTTATGTTTTATAATTGCCATAGGAATCCTCTATATTTGTTGCAAGGGTCTCTTTTCTAAGTACTTTCCTTCATTTTCCTCTTCCCATCTGGTGGGAAATAAATATGGGTCGGAGACCCTGGGTGGCCCAAATGGTTAAGTGCTTGGCTACTAACTGAAAGGCTGGTGGTCTGAATCTACCCAGAGGTGCCTCAAAAGAAAGGTCTGGCAATTTACTTCTAAAACATCACAGCCATTGAAAACTCTATGGTGCCTAGTTCTACTCCCAAACGCATGGGGTTGTCGTAAGTCGGAATCAATCTGATGGCAACTGTTTATTAAAAAGTATGGGTCAATTGAGTATAACTGACTGTTCGAAATATAATGGTACAAAGAAATATATGAATGTTAACAAGATAAACACTTTTCTCACACCTCAATCAATCACAGAATTTTCAATCCCATTTTCTAATTCTAGAGAAAACAATAGTGTTATTTCACATCCCCAAAGGAGGCAATTAAACATACATATCATGTGTCTCCTGATGACAGAACATACGACCACATTATTAGGGAGAAGAAAAAGAAGAATTGAATCTTTACCTAGGACGTTAGAAATAACCATCAGTTTACAGGACGGAGGAATATTTAAACCACACCACAAGAAGGCAATCAGCAGAACTGAGTCTATAGTATACTCTACAAGACAAATTACCTGTTTTCTGCCCAACAAATCAATTGCAAATAAAAAAACTAGAAGAGGCACCCAAAGAGATATATTAACCAATCATAATGTGTAAACCTTATTTGGATCCTAATTCAAACAAAATTAAAACATTACCTCAAATGAATGTTCTTTATTATCCTCTAACCTGTAGTCCAAAAGTACACTCAAAGACATGATGCTACAATCAAATTTGCCACTTTTTGCAGCCCAGTTAGGATGTACAATGATGGCTGGTTCATCAGGCAGAATATATCTTCTCTCACGACGCTGGCGTTCCATTTCCTCTTGACGCTTTCTCTCTTCCTCCTAGATATTTGGAATTTTAAATCACGGTTAAACTTCTATGTACAATATAGAAGCATATCAAACATACATTATGCAATAAAAAACAGATATTAAGTACGTATGCATGTATGAATGTGTGTGTGTATGTGTATAAATACACATCTACTGCACAGCTCTGTTCACTGAGAGGAGCTGGGAGCACCAAACATGAACTCATCTTGGCTTCCAGATACCACTTTACACTAACGGACACCAGAGCTTCCTGAAGAAATGGCCGATTTCAGAGCTAGAGCAGGGACAGAAAAGAGTAAGACTGACACATCTTGTACTAAAGTTAATAAAGTCCACAAAAAAGTGATGGGAACATTATCAAAAGGGTACAGAATCCAACTTGAAGGAGGTCCCTCTGGCCAACTCTGGGACATTTTCATCCTCAAAATAAGTATTCATAACCCATTAAATAAAATAGAAATCATAAGTCTACACAACTCCTAAGAAAAAGGTGATCTCCTACAAAATCACAAACCATACCTAAGAAATCTAACACTGCTTTAGTATCATCTAATGTCACACTCATATTCATAATCAATTTTCTCCACGGTCCCACAAATATTCTTTATGGTTTTTTAATAAACTAAGATCCAGTCAAGTTTTACTCAGTGCCTTTGGTTGTCGTATCTCGCTAATCTTCTTTAATCTAGGGTTGTTTTTATTTTTATTTATTTTTCGGCCTTTCATGACATGGGCATTTTTTGAAAAGTTCCGGCAAGATGTTTTATAAAATTTTTCAAATTCTAGATTGTCTGACTGTTTTCTCACAGATAAATTCCGGTCAAACATTTTTGGCAGGAATATTTCACAAATGATAACAGATACTTACTTTCTCCATGTTTCATTTGCTATACATAAAATACATGAATAATTTGCTATTCACTTTTGAAAGGGAGTATTAAAAATAGATGACTTGGAAACAACCCAGATGTCTCTCAAGTGGAGAATTAATAAACTGTGGTACACTGACACAGTGGAATACTCCTTAGCAATAAAAAGGAACAAATTACTGATGCAACAAAACAGACCAATCTCTAATGCATTAAGTTAAAGAAGTCAGACTCAAAGGGCTATAAGATTTCATTTATATGACTTTCTGGAAAATCCAAAACTGTAGGGTCAGAAAACAGATCAGTGACTCCCAGGGGATAGGGGGTGGGAGAAGAAAATGACTACAAAAGGGTAAAGGGGAATTTCAGGGAGCAACGGAACTGTTTCATATATTGATTATGGTGATGGTTGCATAGCTATATGGATTTGTCAAGATTTGCAGAACTGTTCACTAAAAAAATTGAGTTTAATGTACATAAATTATACCTTAATAAAAAAAACTATATATAACTTAAGTCACACATTCCAAGAACCTCCTATAAACCAGCATTAATATCATTCCAGTATACTTAAATGATTTAGTAGATACCTCTTTATCGTCTTCAGATTTCCTGTCATCCTCTTCTTCCTCTTCTTTTTCAGATTTCTCTAATTCCTTTTGCTCTTCTTTCTGTTCTTCTACTTTAAGCTGTTTTGTCAATCGGGCTATTAACTGAGATTTTAATCCTTTTGAACTAAGAGTTCGACTTTCTAATTCTTTTCGGAGATCATTTACCTAAAACACCAAGCATAAAAACAGAAAAAAAAAAATAATAAAGGGATATTGACAAAGGAAACAAAGTACCTGCGCAATTATCCTCTGCTGAGTTAAAATTGGTGAAAGCGCATACAATGCTTATAAAAATGCAAACTGGTAGAATTATTAGTATTTTTAAAAAATAATTTGAAATACGTTTTGAGATGTTTAAAATTTTAAAATACTCTTTGACCCAGTAATTCTAATTTCTGGGAATCTACCCTAAGGAAATATCCTTAACACAGAAAAAATTTCATATATTAGTTCTTACATTCCCTCCCCCTAAAAAAGAATTTAAATTTTCAATAAAAGGAAATATAGTATATCAACTAGATGAGATAGTATACAACACTTATAAATAATTACATGGGAAACATCAATGTTAATTGAAAACTGTGCATTAACAACTTATGTACATATATGATTATAACCAACCAATCAGACACAAAGCATGTATTCAGAAAAAATACTGGAAAACATCAAAATTTTAAAAATGGTTGTTTTCTGAATGACAGGCTTGGGTAATTTTTTCTTGTATTTTTCTGTATGTATCAATTTTTAAAATAAGCATGCATTATATTTACAATAAAAAGAAATACAAGTTTAAAAATTAGGAACTTAATAGTAAAGCCTTGAATGTAACAAAATGAGAAAAAGTCCTGGGGCACAGGCTTAATCTAACTGCCTATATTTTCTGAATCTACAATACTCTGAAAACCTGATGTTGATGATAATGACTTAAAGAGGTGCAAGACCAAAAGGACAAATATTGCATAAGACCACTATTGTAAGAACTCAAAAAAAGGTTTAAACACAGAAGAAAACATTCTTTAATGGTTATGAGTACGGAGGGAGGGAGAGGGGTATTCACTAACTAGATGGTAGACGAGAATTGTTTTAGGTGAAACGAAGAACAACACATACTACAGGTAAAGTCAGTACAACTGGACTAAACCAAAGCTAAGAAGTTTCCTGAATACAACCAAATGCTTTGGGGGACAGAGTAGCAGGGATGGGGATCTGGGAACCATGGTTTCAGGGGACATCTAGGTCAACTGGCATAACAGACTTTATTAAGAAAATGTTCTGCATCCCACTTTGGTGAGTGGCATCTGGGGTCTTAAAAACTAGCAAGCAGCCATCTAAGATGCATCAATTGCTCCCAATCCACCTGAAGCAAAGGAAAATGAAGAACACCAAAGACACAAGGAAAGTATTAGCCCAAGAGACAGAAAGGACCACATAAACCAGAGACTCCATCAGCCTGCGACCAGAACTAGATGGTACCCACCTACCACCAATGACCACCCTGACAGGGAACATAACAGAGAGTCCCTGATGGAGCAGGAGAAAAGTGGGATGCAGAACTCAAATTCTAGTAAAAAGTCCAGACCTTACTGGTTTGACTGAAACTGGAGGGACCCCAAAAGACACGGCCCCCAGACTCTCTGTTAGCCCAAAACTAAAACCATTCCCAAGGTCAACTCTTCAGACAAAGATTAGACTCGACTATGGGACATAAAATGATACTTGTGAAGAGTGTGCTTCTTTGCTCAAGTAGATACAAAAGACTAAATGGGCAACTCCTGTCCAGAGGTGAGAAGAGAAGGCAGATAGGGTCAGGAGCTCATCGAATGGACACGGGAAGTCCAGGGAGGAAAGGAGGAGTGTGCTGTCACAGTACAGGGAGAGCAGCTAGGGTCACATAACAATATATGTAATATGTATAAATTTTTGTATGACAGACTAACTTGAATTATAAACTTTCACTTAAAGCACAAAAAAAAAAAAAGGTGCAACACCAACAAACAAAAAACTTTATGGATATACATTCTCTAGTTAAAAAAGCAACATGGGTTAAGAAACCAAAGTTTCATAACCAAGCAGAAAAACCATTTTCTGCTGAGAACACGTTAACCAGAAGGCCAGCTATCATTAGTTAAACAAGCTGCAAAAGCAAGTAATAACGACCAGCCTCCAATCTTCTGACCATATATCTATATTCACATTACGTGCCCAGAGATTCAAACCTGAATAAAGGAAACAGGTCCAGAGATCTCACGGAGCGAAGAAAAACTAGTGCAAGTTAACCATAGATTTTCAAAAGAGGCTCTTAAACTATTATTTCTCTCCCAGTTTAGTTGTATATCAGTCCACTTTTTACTTTTAAATTTTATTTTAAAAAGAATAGCCTTTTTCCTATGTATCTTCCCTTCCTCTTGAATTTAAAGTTACTTAACAGCAGAAATTCCAAACCAGAAAACAATGTTGCTCACACTACAGGAACTTGCATTTAGCAGACATTCAAAAGATACTGGCTGAACTCATTTATAAAGTCATACTAATATATAAATAAAAGATCACTTTATAAAACAATCTTAACAAATATAACATATAATACTGGGTTTCATCTTGAATGGCTTTTAGCTGGAAAAAACAAAAAACCACTGTCCTCATTCTCACCGTTACTCTATTCTTTTCAGAGATTTCAAATTAAATACTATCACTTTCAAAGTTACCTTCATTGTCTTAGGATCAAGTTTAGACCAATGGGTAGGCGTGGAAATTTCTTTAGCTTCACCATCATCCTTCTCTTCTTCATCCTGATATGCAAAATTAAGAACATAATTACTATTCTGAAACCCTAAAATAAAAATAATTTATTTTTAAAAGTCTGTTGCTGATCTGTGCAAGGTCACAAATGTTTCAGATTGTCTTCTCCTAAAGTTATTATTTAGGCAAGTCCACGTACATACATTCTACCACTTTAACTGATCACAAAGACACTCATCAGCCAATCAAAGCCAGATCTGTGAAACACAAAAGGGTGATAAATTACAACACAAAGGATATCAGGGATGCACAAACACTGCCGGTCTCCACTAACCACACAGTGTGTGATCTTGTCCCAATTTTCAAGCCACCCAAAGTTAAGACTGATTTAGTCAGACCTTTCAAATGTACCAGTGACGTTGCCACAGAGCCTGAAATTTCAAATCTCTCAGACTTGTGGGTGTCCAATTTCAAATATCCATGACTAGAACTGATGACCGTGAAAGAGAAAATTTTTTAAATTTTAGAAAATGGCAAAGTGTTTAAAATGGCTTAATACTGAATCTTGCTCAACAACTGGTCCCAGATTCCAGCAACTAGACCTATGATAAAAACAAAATTCTGTGCAATTTAAGCACAACTTATTTTCCTTTGAGGTCTCAGCACTCTTTAAGTTAGTATAATAGACAGAATTTTTAAGAGAAAAGAACATACAACTATACTGCTGAAAGCTGGATTACCAGTCGCTGTTACCAGTTATGTTCCTCTATGTATGTTTGTTATGTAGTGTGTGGTGTGCATTTGTGCCTGTGTTCCTGTGCCTGTGAGAAGCGGAAATAGAAAAAGGGATTAGCGTTCAGTGCCTGTTCTCCATCAGCCTCCTTGCGTTCACCCTGAAGCTTCTCGACCAGCTGCTGCTTGTATCCTCGGGAGAGGGTTTCCCACTCTGAGCGGGTGGGAAGGCAATGCCAAACATCCGGGAAAAATAAAACCACTGTCTCCACATGAGCTGGAACTGTACGCCCCTTGTGGGTCTCCTCAGGGCGATGGTAGCGAATCTCTGCAAAACGGTACCTGTTGCAAGGGAAGAAGCATGTTGGAAAAAAAATTCTAAAATACATTTTAAAGACCCTAGTTCACTTGTAGCACATCAAGTAAAGAAATTTTGCTGCAAGAACTTGAGGTTGGTCTAAAGAAAAAAAAATTATAGAAGCCATAGTTCCTCTTTTGGTACATTTGTACAATATTTTATTAGTTAAAAGAAGAGTATGTTCCCCAAGGCATTTTCATTCGATTACAGAGCTACCCATATTTTAGAGAATACCTGAAGAAGCTGGATAGCTGTTCAGATTTCATGTGCTAAAAAAAGAATATTCTCAGTTAAGTCACAAGAAATATACTAAAACACACAGGACAAATAAGCCTCAAGAGAAAATATGGCTGAACAAAAATAATCAGCAACTACATCATTTTACAACAAAAGAATTTTAATGAAATGAAGTTCTCTCTTGACGATCTTCTCCAGCTATGCACAAAATGAAAAATATTTTCAATATACATCCAACTTCCAAAGTACAGCAAAATAAAACATTTAAATTTTCGGTTTATTTTGATTAGTTCTTAATCCTTTTTCCCAAAAACACTTTTGGCAGCAAATAAACTTTTGCTACAAATAGGGATTTTACTTTGAGGAGATTACCTGCAGGACCAGGGTTGCTAAAATAAGGTGGGAGAGGGAAGGCTGATCAACAAGAATATCTACATGAACTATTAGAAAAACATTTCTAGTCAAGAAATGAATTGGTACTTACCATTGTGTGCACACACTTAGATCAATGCCTGTCAGAGCCTTACAACAACGAATAGCAGTCTTAATCAACACAGAGGGGTCTTTTTCTGGGTCTGGTCCATCCAACGAAGGAGACCAGTGGCCTCCAATGGCCATAGCTTCGTCCTTGCCTTTCATGCCCACTAAAAACTAATTCAAAACAAATAATCATTTAAATATATTCTGCAACCTGTCAAATTACAAAAAAAATACTTGAGAAGGAAAGGTACAAACCTTTCCAATATCATTTTTACTACCTCTGGTATCTGTCAGTCAAGGAAGAGTTCAGTTCAACATGTTCCACACTGCATTTCAGCAATGGAATAGGATTTACACATCATAACTCATCCTTCTAAAACATTTCTCCAGATTGAGTTCTTTTAAAAAAACAAGCTATAATTCAAACTTTAACAGCATCCAAAGATATACTAAATCCTATTACTATTATTAAGATTTTACTATGCTACACATATAAAACATCAAAATGACAGTTTAATCAATGACATACAAATAATAGTCATAATCTGCAATAAAATTACATCTCTTTCATTGAATTGAGTGCCTTAAAAGTAAAATTAGTTATTAAACTAATGAGTAAGATTAAAAACGTAGTATTTTTCATTTTATTTATATACAGTTAGAACTAAACAAAACTGAATATAAGCCTAAAGTTAAAATAAATTTTTCATTTTACCTTAACAAGTCTAGCAGGATGTTGAAATCCATCTCGAAGTTCTTGTGGGTCTTCAGCAAGAGCACATGACTTATGATACAAATCTTCCATACTAGGGCTAGCCATCAGCATTACCTATTATAGTCAAATAATTCAATCCTGTCAAAAGTCTAAAGTAATGTAAAAAAATGAGAAGCACTACTAATTATCCTTACATATTAGATATCCAAAATCTTTAATAAAAATGGAAGATAAAGTGCTATACCAGAAATTATATTAGATACTTAATATAGCTTTAACTTTTCAAGGATGCTGTGTTGATCAGACAGTGTTACAAAATAGTAAAAAAAACTACTGACTTTAAGCAATATGCTAAATACTACCCTAAAAATAAAAATTTAGTGCATTCACCCAATATTAAGTTTTGTCTGGGGTATGCAAAGTCATAGAAAATTCCAAAAACTTAATAAAATTAACTTCATTTTCACATTTTTATGAGGTTCAATATGGTAAAACAATTAACTCTAGTTTTATAGTTTAAGAACCAAGGCAAAGAAAGGTTAAATTAAACTACTAAATAACCAAAACAGAACCAGGCAAACAAGAAGGAAACACAGGTATTTAGGTCCTGTATCTAACATCATTTTCTGAAGAATCTCTTTATGTACCCTGTTATTACAAACAAATGCTAAGAAATTTATGGTGCATTATCACGGTAGAATACAAACCTTTGCACTGTATAAGTGGTCAGCATCTGGTGGATCAAGAGTGGCCATATTTTTTTCCAAGGATTCTACTTCTCTGTGCATTACATAGAAATTGCAGTAATTTCCCAGCTGAAATGGTCTTGACAAAGGAAAAGCATCCACCCATGTAAACTGAGCATCAAAAAAGTCACTAGGTATATATAAATTCTGATAACGGCGCCTTAGTTCCATCATGTCACAACTAGGACTGAAAAAGACACAAGTAGTGAATAAACAACACCCTTAACACCACAGTTTATATAAACATTCAATTCTGAAGCTAACTATATAACCTGACATGGATAAAAGCCAGTTGAAAATGGACGGTCAATTATAAATGAGCTATAGATTTGCACAGATACATAGATATATATAATTTCTTTACTAACAGCTTCTAATAAATAACTAGTATCTGGTACTTTTATTTCTTTACTTTTTGTGTGCAGCTTACAATTAATTAGAAAAGACACTTTGAAATGAAATTAACTTCAACCCTGGCTCCAGAGATCTGAAAAAAAAAAAAAGTAGTTCCATAGCATTTGGAACTTTAAATCTGAGAAAACTATGGTTCATAGAGGTGGGTACAAAAAGGGGTAACAGTGGTACCAAATTAGTATTTGAGTGCTCCTCAATCAGGTCTAAACAATGTAGAAAAAAATACAACTTTTATTCTGTAGCAAGCTTCTAGATTAAGCATACCTACATTCAAAATTAAATACAAAAATCCATGTCAAAGCAAAACCAAATGCTTTTTGGATTATCCACACCTCCATACCCTTCTATGTGAATAATGAAGATCCATACCTGACTATTATATACCTCAGATTATTATATAATTTTCTTGCCTTTTTTATCTGGCATACTGATATTTTAAAAGGATGATTTCCTTTTTCCTGAGAAGCAGAGGTTTTAAAGGAGAGGAATTCAAAGGTAAATCTAGAGATTTCTTTTTAGAGCATAATGAAAAATGGAAACCACCAACAATTTTAAGATGAAAAGACAACTACATTGTCTTTTTAAAACACAGTGGTGTTGAATGTGTACTAATCTATATGTAGGGATACCTGTCTATTTTAAACTTAAAAATAAGAAATATACAGTAATAAACTTGTCAGCTATGGTTGTTGATCTACTTCATTTGAAAAAGATTCTGCTGTCAAAATAATGTAAAGAACTGGTATTTGAGTTTTTTGTTGTTGCTGTTTGTTTTTAAACAAGTATTACAAAAATAAAGTATGTGTAATAGTTTCCCAGTAAAACATCACCAGAGTTTTTGAAGTCATGTTTTACCCCATGGAAGTAAAATCTACAATAAAGCAAAAGAGACAAATACAAATAAATCACTTCTTGACATACGGCCTCCTATAATCATATTACTATAAGAAAGTATTTCCACCGCTACATAAAAGAGATACGGAAACTTTAAAATCATTTATATTTACAATGAGTATATCTGGTATCTTGAGCATTTACTACACAGCGGTGAACTATGAAGGTCTGAATCTTCTCACGACAGTATTCGAGACTGGGAACAAATGAGTTAAAAGCAGAGCTGCTCTATTTAGTATCTTTGGGACTAGGGAAGTAGTTTTAGTTCCAAAGGGTTTCTCTGAAATATGCAGCCTAGATATTTTTAAGTATCAGAATAAAGAAAGATAACAAGAAAACTAGTATAAATTAAGAGTAGTTAATTTGACCCCATGAACACCAACTATACAACATAATTAAGAAAAATCACCAAACTTTAAAGCAAGACTTTCTTGGCATTATTAGCTGTCATCGAGTTGGTTCTGGGACTCACAGCAACCCCATGCACAACAAGATTGGACAAGGTTTTATCATTGGCTGATTTTTTTGCAAGCAGGTTGCCAGGCCTTTCTTCCTCGTCTGTCTTAGTCTGGAAGCGCTGCTGAAATCTGTTCAGCATCATAGCAACACGCAAGCCTCCACTGAGAAACTGATGGTGGCTACATTTGGGGTGCATTGGCTGGGAATCAAACCCAAGTGTCCTGCATTGAAGGCAAAAATTCTCCACTGAACCATCACTTCCCCCTTTTTTGGCTTAAATAAAATACACTATGTTCACAAGATCTAAAACTGATGATTACAGAAATTTTAACTTTTGATAAGCCAGCAACGAATATTAATCATTATACTTGGTTGAAATGCAGCAATTCCCTCTCAAGGCCACTGAAGTGCATAGTTAGTTGCATCTATGCTAAACAGCTTCTGAACACTGCTTTTGATGATTCATTTTTGTTATTTTACTATCAGTCTTGGTTTTTAAATACTTTTACATTTTGTTGTTGTCGAGAATATACACGCAAAACGTAACATCAATTCAACTATTTCTACATATACAATTCACTGACATTGATTACGTTCTTTGAGTTGTGTATCCACTCTCACCTTTCTTTTCTGAGTTGTTCCTCCCTCATTAATATAAATTCAATGCCCCCTAAGGTTCCTATCTAATCTTTCGAGTTGTTGTAGTCACTTTGATCCCATATAGATAGTTCTTAAAAGAACATAATGCTCATTTTTATGCTAATTAAGCTACAACTATTTGATTTTAAGAAAACTCCTGGGAATGTTTTAGGTTTAAGGTTGTTCTTGGATTTTCCATCTGTTGATCTATTTTACATACAATTGCCAGTCCCAAGGTCCTCAGATTATTCTACCTTTCCCTTAAAGTAAATTACTTACCAAATTGCCCTCTTTATGCATTACAAGTTTGTAGCTATTACTTAGCTGACCACCACAACGCACTAACATCAGTTAAATACCTATAATCACCACACACTGGATTAGGTGCTTTAGATACTAACTCAATTTATCCTCACAATAATTCTGCTAGTTCATATTACCTCTGTTTTGCAGGTGAAGCTCAGAAATTCTTGGTAACTTGAACATGACCTCTGATTCTAAAGGCTATTTATTTGTATTAAAAATTACAAAATTAGTAACTCAATAAAACCAAGGGAAGAAAAAGAACTTACCAATCTAAAGAGAACTTTGAAAACTGAACTGTGTAACGTGGGACAACACGTCGAACTCTCCGAGGTGATCGTTCTCTCTCTCTTCGGGGAGATCTCTCCCGGGAACGTTTTCTCTGAGGTGATCTTTCTCTGGATCTCCGTCTTTCTCTCTCCCTTTCACGACTTAAAGCAAATTTTTCTAAAATTACTAATATTCCTGGCATTATGAAGAGTTCTTTATTAAAGTAAGTATAACGGTAACACAAACAAGACTCCACAGTATACCTACTGAAACATACCTCCGGTCTTCCTTTCTGTTAGGTACTTGATCTCCTCTGTCATTCCTTCCTGAGAATCTGGACGGTGGATCTAACCTTCGTGCTGGTTGTGGCTGTGAAACTATACGGACAGGGGGCTGCAATAAACCAGCTTAAAAAGATACAGAAAAAACTTTAACTTATTTAAGCAAAGTTCAAAAGCATTGTCTGGCTAAATTTTATAGATAAAAATCACTGGCAAGATGAACACTGCCAAATAATTGGGAATCACTAAAATAGTTTTTAAAAGCATAATTGATAATTTAAGACAAAATAGGTACTGTCATGATGAATTCTTCCTAGTATTCAAAAATAACAATTTCATCTTGAAATATCATAGTCTATTTATTTTACTCAGATAGGATAGTACCTTCTTTGGTGCAATGCAAACTTAAAATAACTTATGGACAGATATAAATATTTCAAAGAGTTACCAGAATACGTAATCACATCCTTCACGACTGTAGATTAAAACACTCATCTTATCTATTTATCTCAACATTTTGTCAAGCCACAAGGATTTAAAAAGATGTTTTTCCTTGAAATTTGTTTAAACTCCATTAGAATTACTCAACTTAAAGGTCTATGAAGGGTCGATGTAACTATTACACATCTCAGGAAAAAAAAAACAGGAGGGTACAGCACAAATAATTTCATCTACTTGATTAAATGATACATGAGATCATACTTAAAACTGAACTAGATCATCTATGAAATTTCTTATATATATGTTCAAAGGCAATATGCATGAGTTTCTATACAAACGTATGTATACAAACAGAAAGTTCCATTCTATACCTTCTACCTGATTACATGATACACAAGATCATACTTTTATATCATATTTAAAACTGAACTAGATCATATTTCTATCATATTAGATCATATTTTTCTGGCCCCAGTCTATGATAAAGATATTAATTCTCAGTATGAAGCCCAGTATAGTGTTTATCTGAATTATTGCTCTGCAGGCTGTAGTAGGAAAAAAACTCTCTAATATTGTTTCCTAAAAAATTTGTTCAATATGAGTCTGATTTCTCATTATGGATGAAAACATGAGTATGTCAGCAGGATCCTTACGCTTTTTTGATGCTTACTTCCCTTTCACTCTCAGTGTCACCCCAGAAAACATACAGGCAGCGTACAACTTAGCAACACCCTCAATGGGACATCTTGTGTGAGAAAGGAAAAAAGTGCTCCAAGTTTAATGGGAACGTCTGAAAAGGTCACAGAGCCAGCTTGAAGGGGCTCTCACTGTTCATATTTGGACAATTAGAGCACCAAAAATAAAAATGACTAAGGATAAATAGCTGAATAAATAAAAGCCCATGAGAACATAATAATACTTAAAAACAAAAAAACGAACTACGAGTAACAAAGGAAAACACTCATTGCCACCATCAGAGAAGGGTTTTAACATCAACTCCTTATTCTGCAAGCTGGTAAAAGGAATCTCCCAGTTCATGAGGAAAAGCTCTTCTCTGCATATGTTGTTAGGTTGTTGACGAATGAAATGCTGGCCGGTCCTGTGCCATTCTCACAATCGTTACTATATAAAAAAACTCAAACCAAACCCATTGCCATCAAGTCGATTCCAACTCACAGCAACCCTACAGGACAGAGTAGTACTGCCCCACAGGGTTTCAAGGAGCGGTTGGTGGATTCAAACTGCCGACCTTTTGGTTAGCAGCCAAACGCTGAATCACTGTGCCACCATGACTCCATATGACAGGTAATAAACGTAGGCAAGGTGAAAGAAATTAAAAAAACCCTCATTCTGAAACCTACAATGAAATAATTGATTCAGGCAAGAATCACCTAATGTAGAAGTTGACAAAAATTTTCTTGAAAGGGATAGACGGTAAATATTTCAGGTTTTGCAATCCACATACAGTCTTGATCCGTAACATATATATATTTCATAACCCTCTAAAAATGTAAACATCATTCTTATTCTTAGCCATGGACCTAATCAACGGCTGTAGTTTGCTGACCCCTGGTCTACAGACACTAAATTAAAGATTGCTGTAGAACAAGATATTTGCAGGGTGCTTAAGTATCATTTATAGATTACCTGCAAAGGAATAAAGCTCACTTCAAAATGGAGGGATATGATGTTCACCATGTTGACCAAGTTATCAAACTTAGCATCACTTAACAGTGAAACAACCTGACAACATGTGCCTCCTAATGTGATACAGTATTAATTACAAAACACCACCTATAGTGCATTCTTGTCAAAAGCCTATAGGTTTAACTTCTAGTTTATGGCTTATATGATAGAGGAACAATGAATCAGGACAAATCCAGAACAATGAACTTTTAACAAGAATCCATAAGTCAACTAGCCCAATTTCTCAAAAATGTCAGTGTTACCTCAGAACCTACTATATAGCCACGGTAGTCAAAACAGCCTGGTACTGGTACCACGACAGAAACACTGACCAATGGAACAGAATCAAGAACCCAGACGTAAATCCATCCACCTATGGTCAGCTTATCTTTGACAAATGACCAACGTCCATTAAGTGGGGAAAGGACAGTCTTTTCAATGAATGGTGCTGGCAAAAATGGATGTCCATCTATAAAAAAATGAAACAGGACCCATACCTCACACCATACACAACAAACACAAAATGGATCGAAGACATACATATAAAACCTAAAATGATAGATTATGGATGAAAAAATAGGGATAACGCTAAGGGCCCTAATACATGGCATAAATACAATACAAATCATAACCAACCATGTACAAACACCAAACACCAGAAGATAAACTAGATAACTGGGAGCTCCTAAAAATTAAACACTTAATGCTCATCAAAAGACTTCACCAAAAGAGGAAAAAGAGAAGCTACAGACTGTGTTGTGAGAAGAAAGAAAAAAAAAAAAGATGGGAAATTATCCTAGAATTAAAAAAAAAACAAAAAAAACCAGACTAAACTAAACATAATGCATGAAACTTGACTGGCTCTTATTTAGGGAGAAAAAAACTTTAAATGACATTTTAGGGACAACTGGTATATCTGACTATAAACTAGATTATTTACATGTTTTGCTTATATGTGATGATGGGTTGCAGAAATATAGAAAAAGGTCTGTTTTTAAGAGGGACATGCTTAAAATTTAAGAGGAAAATGTCATAATGTCTGCTAATTACTTCAAAAGACTAAGCAACAAAAAGTGTGTTTATTTGTATACACACGTATATGCGTATACAGACAAACCAAATATGGCAGAATGTTAATAGGTGTTCAATCTAGGCAGCAAGCATACAAGTGATCATTATACTGTTATGTCAACTTTTCTGTATATTTGAAAATTTTCATAATAAAAATTTTGGGGGAAAAAAAGAACAGCTAACTTACAGAAGTTTCTTATATTAAGTTATTCTACACAAGCTAAAGATTTAGAGGCTAGCATTGCTTAAGTATTCCTAGTTGCCACTGGAGATTTCCCTACCTCCCCCTTCCAGCAACTAATCCTTAGCAAACCCTCAACTCCACTGAAATCAACCCCATCCTATCACAACTCTTTTCTCCCTTCCATGTATTTCCACTCTACTCTCAGTACTCCTGTCAACTATACACTGAGCCATGGGACACATCACCACGAGAAACACTGCTTCCTTGAGCCCTCTCACAGAAGCCACATCTCCTGTTGAAGACAGTGGTAGGGGAAAAAGGTTATTCAAGTCCCAATTCACAACTGGAGAAATCTCTTAGGAAAAAGGTGAGAAAGGGAAAAAAAAAAAATCAGAATCATAGGGCCAATGGTCAGATACTTGGAAGAACCAAGTAGTCTAGAAAACAGTTTGGCATTATATATTAAGTTTATGCTACAATACTACTATCTGACCAGCAATTCCATTTGCAGGTAAAGGGTGGAACTCTGTGTGTGTGTGCACGTGTATGTAGAACCTCATGCATATTGCCCTTGAACACATATGAGAGAAATTTCATAGCAGCATTTTCAGAAACTGCCAAATTCTAAAATCCAAATGTTCCCAAAAAGAACATATATGTTGTACAGTATCCATACAATTGAATACTATCCACAACGAAAATGAACAAACAAGAGCCACAGACAATGCACAAAAACCTTTGAACAATGCTGAACCAAAGATATCTGGCTTAAAAGAGTATATAAATGGAATCACACATTAAGTTCAAAAGGAGACAATGTTAAATTGTGTAGTATGAAGATGTGCACTTACAGGGTCAAGCTAATAAAAGAAGGGCTAGCAATGTATTTTTTTTTAACTGAGTAGTGATGCCATGGTGTTCATCTAACTTGTTACACTGTAACATTTGATCACTTTCCCGTATGTCACATTTGAGAAAATGCCACAATTACACTTTCTAAAAGCTATCATTTTTAACATTGCTTCTATAAGAAAATGTCTAGAGTTCTAAACAATCAACTTGCAAAGGAAAATTTAAAACACAGTTCATTCATTTGATGCAATATGGTTCAACGAGTAATTTCAAGTACTACCATTAGACACTACATGTATATAAAATGTTGGCGGTATATTTACAAAAAAAGTCTCAAAAATATTTTTCTCCATTACATTTAAGCTACCAATAGGATGGCAGGGGATTAACTGATTTGGTTTAAGTCCACAAAGAGCATATATTTTTGAATTTTCTTTCTGTATACTACTACCGTTATTCGTAAGAACTAGAGTTATACATTAATATGAAACATAAAAAGCAAAGATATATTATTACCCATAATACCTTTCTGCTGTGGCTGCTGTAATAAAGGCTGTGGCTGAGTCTGCAGTAGCGGTGTAATAGAAGCTGCTGAAATCTGTGCCTGCAGCAGTGACTGGGGCTGGGGCTGAGCCTGAACACCAAATGTAGTCTGTGGTGCAATTGGCTGAAGTACAGCAGGAGGAGTCTTCAGTAAAGGTTGGGTTTGAGATTGATTCTTGAAAACAAAATTTAAATTTAAAAGAAAAATAATCATGAATTCTAAGACTCAATTACCATATTTCTATAATACCTAACTCAATACTTTATGTACCTGATTTGGTAGTGTCTGAATTCTTTGTGCATTCCATTTAAACGGCATGTTAGGATTATAAGTAGCTTCCACCAATACTCTGTCACCCACTTGGGGGGTTTTCCCTTTGACAGCACTGCAAAAGAAAGAAAGAAAAAAAAAAAGAAGTTAAATGTAAACGCAATTAAAAGAGATTCTCCTCAAAAAAAGATTTACACTTAGCATTTTAAAATAAACTATATGAAATAGGAGTCTCTGGGTAATGCAAATGGTTAATGTGCTCAGCTGCTAACTGAAAGGTTAGAGGTTCAAGGCTACCCAGAGAAGAAAAGCCTGGTCATTTACTTCTGAAGAATCAGTTATTGAAAACCCTGTGGAACACAGTTCTACCTCTGACACACATGAGGTTGTCATGAGTTTGAGTCGACCCGACTACAACTGGTTTTTTGGGGGTTTATATCTAAAATGGAAGCCTGGAAAGCCATTTTTAAAAAGTAGATATACTTTCTAGATATATTTCTTTTAGAACTGATCACATTTCACCCTCTCTATATAAACACAAGGTTTGAAGTAGAAGAAATAATTTACCATCCCATATTCTAATACTGTGTCCCTTCCTAACTTTTACAATCCAAGAGTAAGATCTGTTTTGGGCTTTGGAAAGATGAGAGAAATGCAAAGAAGATGGAAAATACCCAGTCCAGCAGAAGACAAAAACCATCTCCACCACCAGGAAAATCTTACACAGTAATTAAATTCAATTTCCCAAATATAAGAAAGTTCATTAGAAATACATTTGAAATGTCTAAGGAAATTCGTATTTCCTGCAACTACCATAAAACTACCGAAGCACTATTGTGAACATGTTAGTTCATCAAACATTTAAATTTTCATTTATTAATTTTTCACTACAAAAAGTTATTGATTATATGTCAAATAGAAGATTAAATTTAAAAAGGCATATATGACTTTATCCCCTAATCTCAATGTAAGTCTGCCCATGAGTATTATTAGATGATAAATGTCATCTGTTACAAAACATTTATAAAGAATTCACCATAACTGTTGCTGTTGTTGGGTGCTGTTGAGTCGTTTTTGACTCATAGCAACGCCATGTGACAGAGTACAACTGCCTCATAGGGTTCACTTGGCTGTAATCTTGGCAGAAGCAAACCATCACGTTTTTCTCCTGTGGAGAGGCTGGGTGGGTTTAAATAGCCAACCCTTTCGGTTAGGAGCCAAGTGTTTAACCATTTATGCCACCAGGGCTCCTTTTGCCGTAACTAGTATGTTCAATTACCAAAGGTATCTCTTATCACACATTCTCCATCAAAAACATCACAAGGAAAAAAAAAAAAAAACAAACCAATGACAAAAAACAAAGAAAATGAACAAAAAAAGGTCACAGTACAAATACAATAAAAGCTGAATGATTAAAACAGAGATAAATTATAGCTAAAGCACAATCCTATGCCACTATTAAGCAGGTGCTTTATCAATATACTTAATACTAAATACTAAATACAAGAAGGCATCTGCTAACATCTAATAAAGTTTACCTAAGCTGAAAGAATACATCCTCATCCACAAATCCAAACGTATCATGTAGCTTTGTAACCACTCCTGTGAAAACACGCTGTTTCTGAGGTTGGGTTTGTTGCTGACTTGACCGTGGTGTTGGATATGATACAGTTATCTGTGCCGCAGGCTGAGGAGTAGACAGGCTAAGGCTTGTAGGCAATGCAACAGCTGGCTATAAAACAATCATAGAGAAAATAGTTGAACAACTTGAAGAATGAAACCAATGTCACTGAATTACGAATGTAGAAATTGCTGGGGGAAAAAAACCCAAAATCAAAAACCATGCAGCAAAAAAACCAAAACAATAATCAACATCAAATTATAGAAATGATTTGAAATTGTCTAAAAATTTTAAATGACTACTTAAAACTAACCCAAAATGTTAAAAATGTATTTGAAGTCAGAAAATGACATGTACAATTTATAGGTGAGCATCAAGTCTGAAAAACTGTAAGTTACTCTGGATCTATTTCATCATTTTGTTCACTAAGTGTTTCCACAGGTTAAGCCAGGGGAAAAAAGTCCCATGGTCCAATGAGTTTTAAAAAACACCTCATGTTTTAGCCTCCTCTTCAAAATTCGCAATCCACACTGGCATAATACTCAAGATTAAGTCATATATAGCAAAGGATACTCAGCATTCCTTCAATTTTGACCACACAATTATTTTCTCATGAAATCTCTATAACATCCAAGACACTAATGGTCTTCAGGGCAAATTTTGGGAAATGCTATTTTAAGGAGAGACAAATGTTTATAGCTTTTCTACTTTATTTGGGAATTCTAGTATTGGGGATGGAAAATATGATAGGTGTGGGTCAATTTCAGTTCTTTAATAAGAACAGAAAGTGAGGTTAATTTCTCAATTAAAATGTATTTTATTTATAAAAAATAAGCAACAGATTCAAAACTAACAGGTGTAAAAGGGTGAACAGCGAGAAGCTTTTCTCCTACCTTTTTTCCTCAGCTATCCAGATCCCTATCCATGAGGCAATCATTGTCACTAGTTACTATTACACAGCCTCTTGAAGATGAAGATGTTTTATGCAAATATGAGCATATAGATAGGCAGATACAGAATTGATGTCTCCCTGCCCCTTATATAAATGGAAGCATATAACACATAGTGCACTGTACCTTTTTTCCCACTTCACCTATCTGGAATATCATTTCCTATCAGTAAGTAAAGAGATTCCTCTTCCTTTTTAACAGCTGTACAGCATTTCTCTCTATGCCATAGGCCAAGTCAGTCCATGGCCTGTTCCTGTAAGGCCTATTACCTAAGAATGGTTTTCACACTTTTGAAAGAGTTATTTATATACATACATACATATATACACAAACACACACACATATATGTGTATATATATATATAAAATATGCAACACACTGAAAGTGGTCCTTAAAGTCTCAAGTATTTACTATCTGGTCTTTTACAGAGACAGTTTACCAACTCTTGGCACATATCCTAATATATTTTTAACTGGTCCCCTATTTAGGACTTTTAGGTTGTTTCTAACTTTTTGCAATGAATATCCTAGTTCACCTGTCATTCTGCATATGTGTGGGTGCATCTTTAGGACAAATTCTCAGAAGTGGAACTGCTTGCTTAAATATTTCAAACAGGTGCATGGGAAGTTATTTTAGACATGGCCAAATTGCTTTACCAAGCAGTGAACTTTAAACAAATCCAGATCTGAAGTCTTCCTTCTTGAGAATTTAATGTAGCCATTCTATAAAAAAGTAGCATTACATATCAAAAGTTCAAAATCTCTTAGTAAATATTGCTAAAAAGAAAATTAAGCTACTAAGGTAATACAATAACTCTACCTACTAAGGTCAAGCTAAAAAAAGAAGCAACATGTACAAAAAAATTCCCACAAATATTAGCAACAAAGAAAACATCAAACTCAAAATCAGTATGGTTTAAAATAAAACTTCTTCATTAAAACTAGATAATACTCTAAGACACCCTTCTAACAGGGAACTGAAGCCATTCCCAGAGACTACCTTCCAGCCAAACAATAGACAGTCCTACAAAATAAACGATAACATCCGAGAGAAATGAGCTCCTTAGAACAGTTAATTACATGACACCAAAAGGGCAAAATCTGCCCAAAAGCAAAGACAAGAAGCCAGGAAGGGGTAGGAAAACCAGACGAAAGGTAATGGGGAACCCAGGGCAGAAATGGGGTGAGTGCTGACACACTGAGGGGACTGTGACCAATGTCTTGGAATATTCTGTGTACAAACTGTTGGAAAGGGAAACTATTTTTCTCTGTAAACCTTCACCTAAAGCACAATAAAATGTTACAAAATAAAAAACAAACTAGATCACAGCTTGGCCCACAATCAAAATGCACAAAAGAAAGCAAAACAAACAAACAAAAACCACACACTTTCAATCTTTATTTAACATTTACATTGCAAACCTATTAATGTGAATCCAACAAATATTCATCTTTAAACCCTGACAGAAAAACTAGAATAGGAATAAAACTTTGGTTTGCTCTTCATTCAGATTTCCAAAAGAAATAAAGTAATGCCAAACTAACCTGTGTTAATAGGGTCTGCTGGGGTTGCTGTAACTGGAAATAGAAAAACAAAAGAAAAGAAAAAAATAAAAATTAGAATTGTTTCAAAGATGCTTTATAAAAGGAAAACATTTCTATTAAAGTTACTTTATTTCTAATTAAGAAGAATGTGAAAAGTAACAGAAGTCATTAAAAGTATAAAGTTTTCTATTTCTAACATCTATGGACCCAATAGGTAAGAATTTCACATAGCAGATTACAATAAGGTAACTTTTTTGTTTTGTTGCTATTTCATAGTGAAAACACTCACCAAAAAAACCCCACAGGTCCCAAGAGGGGAAGATATCTAGTCCCACATGTTAATTTTCATGTACAAAAATGATTCAGTATTATTATTATTATGCTACTTGTTATCAAAAAATACCAGTAGCCATTCAATTCATATATGTCCCTACAATGAGAAGCACTTCTGATGATCAGATCTGCTACAGGCATAGGAACCATGAAAAATCAAACACTCTGACATACGGTTTTTTTTTTTTTGGCAATAGCAACATGTAACATTAACAGAATATGAAAGAAACTGGGGGAAATGCGGAGGTTAAAACACTCTGAAACAGAAATGACTTAAGCTAGGAAAAAAACCTATATGAGGTTCTGATTTAAAACACTCAGTTTACCTGGGGCCACATATTAGAGGTTAAATAATACCAAATTATGACTTTGTTAAGTGAACGACAGTTGATTATTGCCATTTTTACATAGTTCAACCTAATACATCATAATATTTAATAACGGTACTAAAATAAGTCTGAGGGTACTTTGAAAACAAGATAACTGTTTTGAAATCAATCTTGTCAGTTTTTTAGAGGTTTATAAAAACTATTACTGGAACATTGTAATCTTCAGGGAAAATGTAATGTTTCTCAAGCCTCAAATGGCTTAAGTCAAGAATGAAACTGGGCTATGGTTCTATGGAAAAGAGCACATGACTTGAAGTATGTCATGCTTCTCCATAGTGTCTTTGGATCCAGCTTTTGGTCCCTTCCTCTTCCATTCCTTTACTTCTATTATACTTTCCTCAAACTTCTTAATGGCTCAGGTACTGAGAAAGACTCAAAACTACCTCCTAGCCCTGGAAAAGCGTAGAAAGGGTGCTTAGGCTACAGTTTATCTAGCTTAGGCTAGAGCTTGCCATTTTCAGGGCAAACTCTCTTTCCCTTGACATACTTCTCCTTGGGTTCAGTTTTCCTTACCTCATCCTATCATAAATGTAAAATCTTAAGGAACTTGATTAGAGTCGGAGCCTAGAGAAAGGACAACAAAGAAACTTACTTTCAGTCTAAGTCAGGGTTCTTCAAATTGTTCAAATGTGCCTTGGGAGTAGGGATGGAACTATAGGGGAAGGTGTTCCCCTATTTTCAACAGCTCTATTTTAATATTCTGTACATAGGGTTTCCACATACAATTTCATTTTGGAAAAAAAGGGAGAGTCCACCACTTAAAAAAAAAAAAAAAAAAAAAGGCTGAAGGCCAATGTTCTAGGCTTCAGATGGAAAAAAAGCAGCTTGTCATTTTCACATGTGGTCTAACTCAGCAAAGTAGGGCTAGAGGTTCCAGACAGGAGTACAGGGCCAAAAACTCAGGAACACAGTGATTCTTTCCATATTATCTTAGGCATACGTCCTTAAAACACACATGACAAAGACTGGAGGATATGGGTTTTTGAGACCTCCCTCCTATCTTTTCCTCCCTTGGAGACATTCCTTTTTATATACATCATTTCCCCCACCTCCAAAGAATTCAAATCACACATGAAGGTAGCTGATAAGAATTAAACTCTATTATCAAATGAATTTTGAAACAAATGGCTGTTTTAAAATAACTTTTTAAGATGGAAAATATAAACTAACCTGCTGTTGCACACTATACAAGGCCTGTTGAGGTTGTGAATATTGCTGGGGAAAAAAAATACCAACAGAGTTTTCAAAGAAAAATTGGATATTAGCTTTGGTCATTCTCAAAAAGTAAACTACTTATATACAAATACATAGCCAAAATTACACTAAAAGGAAATTCCCTGGAAGAATTAAATGTCATCCAAAATAAACAAAATGGTGATTACTTATACTCTGGGACCCACTAAAAACTGAATTTTGTTCAAATAATTAAGGTATAAAAATTGCCCAATTTAAAAGCTGAAGAATTTTGACTACGTAACTATGCTTCTCTGTATGTACTAGACATATATAATTTTTATGATCAGGAAAAAAAAAAAAACAAGCATAATAAAGGCCTAAAATTCTTCCTTCATTCATTAAAAACTGATAGCAGTGACCTTAGCTACTCAAATAGATTTTTTAAAGTTTTCTCTGTCACATATTAAAACCTCTTACTCAAATAGATTTTTTAAAGTTTTCTCTGTCACATATTAAAACCTCTTGAAGATTTACCTGTTGCAATGCAGCTGCTGCAGCTGCGGCTTGTTGCTGCAATGCTGCAGTTTGAGTTAATTGATAGTTCGCTGGAGTTTGTGTGGTAAGGCCTGCTGCTGCCAACGCAGTCTGCTGTGTATAAATGGTAGGAGATGCTCCAAGGAGTGATGGCTGCTGAACACCCAATGCAGCTAAAATGAGATCAAAATGCAAAAACAAAATGAAAATTTGGGTCCCTTCTCGGAATTTTCCGTGGGTACTTAGTTGTGTATCAAACTCTGCCATTGGTTAGTAAAAAAACTGAAAGAACAATTTTATTAATTCTTATTGAATTTAACTGACTCATGTCTCATCCCAGATGTTACAAGGCTTTATATTAAATAATTCATCATCACGGTAAATATAAGAGTACAGTGTTCTATAAAATTATACATCAAAATAAACCCAACCAAACTTAGTTAGACAAAATATTTTTTAGGAAAAATCCAAACCAAATCCATTGCCATCAAGTCGATTCCAACTCATAGGGATCCTACAGGGCTGAGTAAAACTGCCTCACAGGGTTTCCAAGGCTGCATTCTTTACAGAAGGAGCCCCGATAGTACAGTGGTTAAGCACTTGGCTGCTAACTGAAAGGTCGGCGGTTTGAACCCACCAGCTATTCCACGGGAGAAATATGTGGCAGACAGCTTCCGTAAAGATTTACAGCCTTGGAAACACTATGGGGGCAGTTCTACTCTGTCCTTATAGGGTGGCTATGGGTCGGAAATGACTCAATGGCAAAGGGTTTGGTTTCGGTTTTATGCTAATACTCACTGGTCAAAAGTAAACAGGACAGTCTGCCATATCGGTTCTCACTAGACGAGAGCACAAGGGAGGCAGGCTCAGAGGATGAGGAAAAAATATGTATTAACAACAAGCCTTAGTAGATTTAATGTGCGTTTTTTACTCTTAGAAAGATGTTTCAGAGACAACTGGCTATAATACAGCGCTAGCAGTGTTTAAACAGGGCCCATACCAGCAGCAATCTTCCTTTTCTACCAAATTATGGGTTGGAAACATGCAACTATATCAAGGGATAACTATCGCAAGTGAAGTATATATAGGCCAGTTATTATCTGTGTGGAGAAGACCAGCAATCTTCGAATTTGAGCTGCTAATTCAAAGGGTGGGGATTTAAAAAGTCCACCACCAGGCCAGAATGAGGAGGCAGGAAAAGTGGATTCATATTTAAAACATGTGTATTAATACTGGCTTCAGTCACCTGTGTTCCTGAATTAGTTTGTTTTTTCTCTATAGTAACAATGCAGTCACCTTACAAATGGTCAAAAGAAGTGGGTGAGAATAGGTCTGATCTGTTAAATACAACCTCACATTTTAATTTTTTTGCAATTATATACATATATATACGTAAATATTTTAGTCAAGTTAACACATCTGGTTGCATCTTTTACAAAAACATGCTAAACACGAGCTTCCAGTATCAGAGCAACACACAAGCCACCACAGCAGGACAAACTGACAGACACACGGTGGTAACGAAATTCTACATTATATCAAAATGTTTTCATGTTCAAGGTTCTAATACTTTTAACTTTATAAAGCGTAACTAATAAGAAGTCCCCGGGTGGTGCAAATGCTTAAGCACTTGACTGAGAAGTCCTACAAAGCCCACAAGTAATTTATACAGCAAAAATATAAGCTCTGTTTACACAAATCCAATTATTTACATTTGAAATCTCCACTGCTAAATATGAAGAGCCAAATATGGAAAGGGGATACCTATATTCACTATTGACTTTGTCAAGTTCCATAAACCTTTGGCCTCCTTTTCTCAGTTTTAAAATGAAAACACAGGAGTATAACATACATTCAAATGTAAGTGGTAAGAACTATGGACACTAGAATTCCACCATAACAACTATTTTATTGACACAATATACATATTATAAATCTAAAACAAATTATATGCAGAAAAAGTCAGCTAGAACACGCTTAGTTTATCAAAGTGCCGGTATATAGCACTAGCTTCTGGATATATAGAAGTTGCTAATAATTCCTGTTTCATTAAAACAAAGTCAGTACCAGTTTCACTATTATTTAACATTGTTGTTAGGTGTCCTCAAGTCAGTTCCGACTCATAGTGACTCTACGTACAACAGTCCTGTGCCATCCTCACAATTGTTGCTGTTTGAGCCCATCGTCTGCAGCATTATTTAACACAGAAGAGAAATACTTGGATCTGAATAAAATATAATCTGTATAACTGTTTTTTCACATTATTTTCAGCTGTCTGCAAATTAACTGTTGACCATTTGATCCCCCAAATCAAGAGCAATTAAATAAAATCCCTAAAGCATCCATTTCTTTAATAGGAATAAGAAAGGTCACCTAGATAATTAGATAATCATTTCCACCAAATTTTAGAACATCTAAGTTAGAAGATCACAGTCTCTCTGCAACTGACCTCAAGTTACATAACAGATATTTTAAGTAAGTAAAACGCAGCAAAGAATATCAGATGTACCGTAAATAAAATATTCAAATTAACAGAACAAGCTCCTATTTTTCCGGATATGGAAACTCAAAATCTCATTCAGTAGGATCCTTGTGAAACTCATTTGAAATTCTTAAACACTATATGTACTATATTTAAGTAAAAAAATGCAATGCTGTAAGAGAAGTTAAAGATTTTAAGATTCAATCAATAAAGTAAAAAACTGATATAGAATTCTTAGGAGCAAAAGAAAGAAATTTATTGAAACAGGTCTACCTTAAAAAAGATTAAAAAACAAGTTTTGTTTACTTTGTTTAGAAAATTTAAATGTTCATTTGCTCCTTTTAAGTCAATTTTAATCATAATTAACTTCCTTAGAGTTCATTTTTCTACTTTAAACAACTAAAAACCACAGCCATATATAATTTTCGTAAAGTATGGCTTTCAAATACATTTACTTTTAAATATAACTTATAAATACTGACATTTTAACATGCCAAATAGGGTATACTCTATATTTAATGAGTGGCTGTTAACTTCTAACATAATTAAGTCAATTAAAAATTAAGGTACTTGAAAACTACAAAAATTGGTCAAAATGTTGTGTAAAACACATTTTTTTGCTCACTGATCAACGTCTTTTTAAAAAGAGATTTACAAATAAACGAAAGATACATAATTAATGAGCATTTTACAGTATTGAACCAAAAAACCAAACCTGCTGCCGACGAGTCGATTCTGACTCAAAGGGACCCTACAGGACAGAGAAGAACTGCCCCATAGGGTTTCCAAGGAGCAGCTGGTGGATTCAAACTGCCGAACTTTTGGTTACCAGCCGCAGCTCTTAACCACTGCTCCACGAGGGCTCCTTCGCAATATTATTCATGCCCTAAATCACATAGTTATAACATGCCCCCACATATTTACAGTACATGTGTTCAGTAGCCTGACCTGGCTGGGATACCGCAGTGGCTGTAAACTGAGTAGCCCACGGGGGATTCTTCTGTCCTCCAAACTGAGCCATGATGTAAGGGAGAAAAAAAAAACCTCTGCTTGTTTTTCTTCTACAGCAGCGATCTATTAAGAAAGGATCCACATTTTAAAGTTCAGTCAAATCACAAATATCACAAAAGGTTATTTTAAAGAAGTATCTGTCAAGCACATCTTTGTAGAGGTTTAAGAATAAATAAATGCAAGTAGAAAAGGGGCAAGGGAACACCTGAAATGCAGCAAAACATTTTACATCGGTAGCTCACCAAAAAAAAGAAAAAACCTGCCATCGAGGCGATTCCGACTCAGCGACCCTACAGACAGAGTACAACTGTCCCACAAGGTTCCCAAGGCTGTAATCTTTACCGGAGCAGACGGCCACATCTTTCTCCCGGGGCTCCGAACAACTGACCTTTGGGGAGGTTCGCAGCCGAGCGCTTACCCACTGCGCCACCAGGGCTCTCTACAGTTCAAACGTACCAACTTTAAAAGATAACATTAGGGCTTGACTTACAAGAAAATGCACTTCGGTCTGCGTGTACAAACTGACACATTCAAACGATTCTTAACAATAAGTTCACAACTTTATGATAAAAAAAATATAGCCTGCGTGTTTCTTTTTGGCAGTGGGCTGGGAATTAGGGCCAGAGTCGCAGTCACACCAATAACGGAAATTGGGGCCACGAGATTCCGAATAAAAGTATTTAAGAATATCATTTAAATAACGAACACTTTACTTTCTGGAGTAGGGAAGGAAGCAGAGAACTAGAGGCTCCGTTTCCCTCCCCTCCCTCAAGGAGAAAAGCTAGTTGAGATAACCACAGCGAAGACACCCCACCCCCCAAAAATACCCCAAACCAAAACCCCCTGCCGACGAGTCTATTCTGACTCACAGCTACCATATACGACAGGGATATATATACGACAGGGCCATAAAGGACAGAACTGCCTGATAGGGTTTCCAAGGCTGTAAATCTTTACAGCGGAGCGGCTGGTGGTTTCGCCGCCAACCTTTCAGCCGAGCGCTTTAACCACTGCGCCACCAGGGCTACCCATCCCACCCCCCGAGCCAAAAAAGGCGAAGCTCTCCGCCCACGCACCCACCCCCGACCCCTGCGCGACTCGGTGGGCCCGAGTTCTGCCATCCATCTTCCTCCACCCCACGTCTTCGTGGGCCAGAGACCACGAAAGGTGGAATCCTCCATCCCGCACGACAAGACGAAGCCACCGAAAGGGGGATACCGACAGCTCTGGGCCCTTAATCCCCGGGGAAGACGGAGAAAGCCTCCATCCTCCAAAACCCGCACCGCGGCTAGTCGTCCCGACGAACCGGGCCCGGAGGCCGGACGGATAAAGACGCGGCAGCTCGGATCGTGGGCCGCCGGCCGAGGTTCAGGGGCGCTGGGCACTCCTCAAGGACCGCGAGGAACGAGCAACGTGGTGGGGGAGGGGCCGGCCGCGCGGGGCCTGCTTCGACCCGTACAAAGGGGCCGCGTCCCTCCCGCCCCAGACCCACGAGAGCCCCACCGTCGCCGGCCTGCTGCCGCAGTGCTTCCTAAACAGTCGTCCCCGGCCCTTCTGTAGATTCGGTAGGATGTTATGAACCTGGCTCGGCCGCCCACCGCTCCAACCGCGCGGACCAGACCTTCACCTGAACCGAATCCCGGTTAGCACCGAAGCCATTTCAAACCCGTCAACCTTGAGCGCATGCGCCAACTTCCCTTCTTCCTCCACGCCACTCCCCTCCTCCCCATCTCCGGAGGAGCGGCGCTTACGAGTATACGTTCTACGTGCGCGCTCCCCGAGCCGTCTACATTACAGTTGCCCCTTTCACGACGAGGCTATGAGTAGAGGGCGTCTAAGAAGGGTTACCTAGGCTTCTGATAACAATGGGCGGCGGGGTAGGGGGATGGGGGAGGCGGCGGTGTGGAATTAAGTCTATGCGCATGCTCTGAGGGAAAGGGTTTTCGTGGGGGTGGAAAGGAAAGAAATGGTAGGTCACGTGTTCCGATGAGCGCTGCCGCCATCTTTTCTTGTCTTTTTTCCTAGTTGAATTACTTGCGGAAGTGGGTATATACTGTGACATTTTCCTAACTTTAAAAAAAAACTAAGTAAAATTCACTTAACGTATAATTCCCCATTTTAGTGATTTTAAAGGGTACAATACAGTGGCTTTTCGTATATTCACAAGGTTGTGCTTGCAAGCATCACTACTATTACAAAACATTTTCATCATCTCTAAAATAAAACCATACTCATTAAGCAATCATTCTTCATACCTTCATTCCCCTAGACCCTGGCAACCACTAATCCCCTTTCTATCTCTATGGATTTGCCTACTCTAGAATTTAATATAAATTTCATGGTTTTTTTTTTTGTCTTGCTTGTTTCACACATGAGGTTGTCATGAGTGGGAATCTACTCTGTGCAGTTATTTCTTTCACTTAGCATAATATTTACAGGGTTCATCCATGTTGTAGGATGTACCAGTATTTCATCCCATTATAAGGCTAACTAATATTTAATTGTATGAATGTACTGTGTTTTGTTAATACATTCATCCAGTTGATAGATATTTGGGTTGTTTCCACTTTTCAGCTATTATGAGTAATGCTGCTATGAGCATTGATGTACAAGGTTTTGTTTGAACTCCTGTTTTCAGTCCTCATGGATATATACATAAGAGTGGAATTCTGGGTTATAGAGTACTAGTTCTCTTTTTTAAGGAGTCACCAAACTATTTTCTACAGTTATTACCATGTTTTACATTCCTACCTAAAATCCATAAGCGTTTTAGTTTATCTACATCCTTACCAACGCTTGTTACTTTCCGTTTTTTAAATTATAAACTTTCTAGTGGGTGTAAAGTGGTATCTCCTGGTTTTGATGTGCATTTCCCTAGACTAATGGGGAGCCCTGGTGGCTGCTAAAGACAAAAGGTTGGCAGTTCAGATTCACTAGCCACCCCTCAGAAACACAATGGGGCAGTTGTATTCTGTTCTGCAGGGTTGATATGAGTCGTTATCAACTCGAGAGCAACGGGTTTGGTTTTGGTTTAATGACTAATGGCATTGGGCATCTTATTGCTATTTGTGTATCTTTTTGAGCATCTTATTTGTATTTGTGTATCATTTGAGAAAATGACTGTTAAAGTCCTTTGCCATTTTTTAGATTGGGTTGTCTTTTTGTTGTTCAGTTGTAAGAGGTCTTAACATTAGACCCTTATCAGATATGTGAGGAGCTCTGGTGTTGCAGTGGTTTAAGCACTCAGCTGCTAACAGAAAGGTAGGCAGTTTGAACCCACTATCCGCTCTGCAAGAGAAAGATGTGGCAGTCTGCTTCAGTAAAGATTTATAACCTTGGAAGCCCTATGGGGCATTTCTACTCTGTCCTATTGGATTGCCATGAGTCAGAATCGCCTCAGTGGAAGTGGCTTTTGGTTTTCGTTTTTCGGTATCAGATATATGATTTGTAAATATTTTCTCCCGCCTGTGGATATCTTTTCACTTTCTTGATGGTGTATTTTGATACATATATGTTTTTTATTTTGATGAAGTCGAGCTTATTTTTTTTCTTTTCTTGCTTATGCTTTTGATGTTATATATAAAACTCTATTGCTAAATCCAAAGTTGTAAAGATTTATTCCTATGTTTTCTTCTAAAAGTTTTCTAGCTTTAGCTCTTCATGTGCAGTTCTTTGATCCATTTTGAGTTAATTATTTTGTATGGTATGAGGTAGGGGTCCCATTTCATTTTGCATGTTGTGATGGTTAAAGTTGTGTGTTACTTGGCTTGGCCGTGATTCTCACTACTTTGGCAGTTATGATGTAGTTTTGCAGTCATATAACGATGTGATCTAATATAATGTGATCAACTCCGTGATGAAATCTTCTATGAGTAGCCAATCAGTTGAAGGAGTTTTCCTTGGGGGTGTGGGCTTCATCCAATATAGGTGGACTTCCTGGCAAGGCTAATGGGGCTTTTGCTCACTCTGGATCCTGCAGCCTCCTCCTGTTCATCTGCTCTCCAGTTTTTGGGACTTGAGCTAGCAGCTTACGTGCCGATCTTGGGATTCATCAGCCTGTGAGCCAGAGGCCTGCTGTCTGACCTGCCGATCTTCTGTTCACCAGCCCCTGTAGCTAAGTGAGTCAGGAGAAGCCTCCAGCCTGACCCACAGACTTGGGACTTTCCAGCCTCTACAACCATGTGAGCCATTTCCTTGATAGAAATCTCCCTCTGTAACTCTTTATGGAAACCCTGGTAGCATAATGGTTAAGAGTTCGGTTGCTAACCAAAAGGTCGGCAGTTCAAATCTACCAGGCACTCCTCGGAAACCCTATGGAGTAGTTCTACTCTGTCCTATAGGGTTGCTATGAGTCAGAATCGACTTGACGACGACAGGGTTTTTTTAAAATATATATTTATACCTTTCACTGGTTTGCTTCTCTAGAGAACCAAGCCTAGGACATGTGGATATCCAGTTGTCCCAGCACCATTTATTGAAAAGACTATTCTATAACCATTGCATGGTTTCACACCCTTGTCAAAAATCAGTTGACCAGCTGTGGAAAACTACCTGGCAATTGCTCAAAAAAATTAAACATAGAATTACCATAAGAGCCAGCAATTCCACTCCTAGGTGTATGCCCAAAAGAACGGAAAGCAGGGACTCAAACAGGTATTTGTACGGCAAAGTTCATTGCAGCATTATTCACAATAGCCAATAGGTGGAAACAACCCAAGTGTACATCAGCTCATGAATGGATAAACAAAATGTGGTATGTCCATGCAATGGAATATTATTTAGAATAAAGAGAAATGGACGACATGGATGAATCTTGAAAACCTTATGCTAAGTGAAATAAGCCAGACAGAAAGGGACAAATATTATATGATCCCACTTATATGAAATTATCTAGAATAGGCAAATGCATAGAGACCATAGTTTATTTGTG